AGAAAATCAGCTTCTATATCATGATAAAATTAAATGTGAATGTAGTGAGACCAAATGCCAGGCCTTGTTTATGTCTTTTTACTGTTTACTATGAAGTTTACTATGAAACTGTATTTATTCATTTTTTCTTGTTCCCCATGTCCTATAGCATCTGTAACTGTTGATTTGGGAAGAAATATTTATTATTTCCTTACCTGCCATGAACATAATTTATAAGCAGTGCAACACAAGAAACTTGGAAAGCTACAGGATTTGTTCTAAAATCATTCAGAATCACTTTTAGGAAGGTCTTAACTCTGTATTTGATTGAAATATGTAAAATCAAATCCTGAAATTGTTGCAGCACAGTTGAGACCACAATTTTTTTATTTTTTTTTTCTATGTATGAACTGTGAAATGTGTTGAGATATATTGCAACGTGTGTGTGTACAATATATGATGGCAAAAAAATATGTATAGATTAACCTAGTTTTATAAAGGGTTCAATCCAGGGGGACTTTTAAGCCAGCAGGACTTTCCAGCTGGTTCCCGTCATTGCAGACTGGAGATACAACACAGGAGCTGCACTGAACCAGGACTAAATCAGGTCTAACCAAGAACTAATCATGCACTGGATTTACAAAGCATCTTTCCATGCAACCAAAGCGCTGCATAGTTTATAGTACAGAGTATTATCCATTCAATCCGCACTTGATGGTGGTAGCCACAGCTGACCTGGAGTACACTGACAGAAATTATTGCTACAAATAAGAATTTTTATTTTTCTGACAAGTGCTGAGATTAGATTTGCACTGTATGTGCTTCTGTTCAGATCGCACAGCCCCAGGGCCAGCATTTGAGATAAAACTGAAATATGAACTGATAAAGTAATACAAGTGTTTTCTATATAAAAAAAAAAAAACACAGGATGTTTTGTTAAGATACAGGGCATTCTATCTTATCAGTACAACTGAAGCCATCTCAAATCTCAATTTCCATGTCTGCACCAACACTCACTCACACACCATATTTATATAAAATGAGGTGGGTGAAGTGTCTTGCCTAAGGACACATCAAAAGTACAAGACAGAGCCACTGCAGCCCCATGTCCTCTGGTAATACCAGAGGAGCATTTCTCAAAGACTAAACCGGGTCTAAACCAGGATTACACCAAGACTAAACCAGGACTAAATCAGGACTAAGTCAGGTTGAAACCAGGACTAAACCAGGTTTAAACCAGGTCTAAACCAGGACTATATCAGGACGCAACCAGGACTAAACCAGGGATAAACCAGGACTAAACCAGGTTTAAACCAGGTCTAAACCAGGACTATATCAGGACGCAACCAGGACAAAACCTGGACTAAACCAGGACTAAACCAGGACTAAACCAGGACTAAACCAGGACTAAACCAGGACTAAACCAGGACAAAACCAGGTCTAAACCAAGTGTAAACAGGACTAAACCAGGACTAAATTAGGACTAAACCAGGTCTAATCCACAACTAATATCATCTCTGATAGTAGGTCACCACCCCAGACTGCAGAAGAGCTACAGATTTACACATTCCATGAAAACTGCTTGCTAATAATATTCTTCTCATTTCAAAACTAACCAAAACAATTTCAAGTCCGACACCAAACCAAACATTCTATCTCCTTAATCAAATTTTCCTACTTATAATTACAGAAGAAATAACATGTTAGATAAATTAACCCATTGTCAACAAATCTTTGGCTACTCCTCCTTTAAATTTTCAGCCAACCGTCAACACACATTCAACACAATCAAATAAAAGCTAACGGCCCAGTTTCTCCAAGACAGTAAGCTGTTTCTATTGAAATAAGAAGCAGTAAATGAGTTAGTCATCTGAGTTTATGGCAGAGGCAGAGTTCCTAAAACAGTTCCTTGTCATAGTCATATTTGTTTTATTTTAGGCAGACGTATTTGTAAGCCAGATGTGAGATTCAAGCCATGTTAGAATGTTGCTACCTCCTCAAAAACAGACCTGGAGAATCTGTGTGTCATTCGTTCATTCGCTTTTCAAAATACAACCAAAAATAAGAAAACGAAAAAACAGCTATTTTCTTCATTATTTGTCTCCAAAACCAAAATGAAAAAAAAGATAACGATTACCGTATTTTCCGCACCATAGGGCTCTCTGGATTATAAGGCGCACTGTGAATGGTCTATTTTTGAACTTTTTCACAAATAAACCGCACTGGACTTTAAACGAAACACAACAGTTGGATGGGTCAGTGGGACTTTGTTTGGCGCGTTCACGGTGACTCTGGGCTTTGTTCAGTTGTGGGGTGTAGGGAGGGTGCTGTCTAGGACCACTGGATTGTCGGCGTGTTCGCAGTGACTCAGTTGTTCAGTTGTGTCTAGAAGCGGCACATTGGACTCGCTTTTTCGGTTCGTTTCTCCGTTCCGTTCCTCGTCTGCGTGGAGTGATGAGTGTGGCTGTGGGTGTTTCTCGCTGTGCGGTCGCTGTCTGCTCCGTGTGTGTTTGCGTGCTCTGCAGGTGGTGCGGCTTTGTAGTTTACTGAAGTTGTGCTGGGACACCCTTGTGGATTCCTGTGTAAGGTGCTCTGGATTGTGGGGCGCGCAGTCGTTTTTTGACGGGGTTGGAGGCTTTTGAGCGTGCCCTATATTTAATTTCGTGTTTAAAATGTATTTCCTGTTTCTGAAACTTAAACTGTGATGCCGGACTTTTGCACCACGTGCGGACTGAACCAGGACTAAAACAGGACTGAAATAGGACTACGTCAGGACTAAAACAGGTCTAAATGAGGTCTAAACCAGGACTAAATCAGGACACAAAATCGAAAAGTGAAAACTGAATTGTTATCCGTTTTTTTTTTCATTTTTGGTTTTGGAGAGAAATAATGAAGAAAACTGTTGTTTTTTAATTTTCTTAATTTTGGTTTTATTTTGAAAAACAAATGAACGAATGATACACAGAGTCTGGAGTTGTGTTTTGTTTCATTCACATGTTTGAGTAACCATTTATTATTAGTTTGTCTACATCTTCAAAGCTCAAAATGCTCTGTTCCACCTTGTGATGTCATGGAGTGGTAGTTTTCAAGTCTCAGCTACTTTTTACCCTTTGCTCACTAGAGATTGGCAATTCCAGGTCTGAAATTATCCAAATGATTCTAGTGAAGGTGTATGGAGTTTAAAAACAGATTGGAGCACTTCCTGTATTATCACATGAAATCACAAGGTGGAGCAGAGTATTTTCTCAGCCTAAATCTGCAGAGTTTGTGTGTTAAACATACGTGAATGAAACAAAATACAACTGCAGGTCTATTTTTAATGAGGAAACATTATAACATAAATCATAAAATAGCGTAATATGGGAACTTTAAGCATCTTAAACAATCACTAATCTAATAAAAAATGTTAGAATGAAGACGCTTTTGAATATTACCAAAGAGTTTCCTGCTCATCTCTATGGTCACAGTGTTTGGCTTGAGTCTACTTCTCATTTCTCTTTAAAGAAACCTCATTGAATAAATATACTGCATGTGCGACAATATAAAATGCGAATATCTAAATAAATGAAATGACAGACTAATTTAAGAATTATATTTTAGAGCATGTCAGTGTGTACAGATGTCAACTACAGGGTTAGCAGTTTTTTTTATGCCGAATAAAAGGGCTGAAGCATTTGGGGAGAATTATCTCAAATGTATTTTTTTGGATGAGCATTTTGACTGCAGAAGTATTGACAAGAAATATACAAGAATCACATTTCAGAACATGTTTGTAAAGATGTAAACTAGAGGGTTAGCACTTTTTAAGCAGAATAAAACAGAATACTTGGAAATGATGATACTTCAGCAATGGCAGCTTTTGTGATCTGGTAATTACATGCATTCAAAGTGTGATTTAGATACAATTGTGATTAATCTCGTAGCCCTAATCTGAACCCAGCAGTAGGGGGTGTGTATTGTGTCACTATGGTAACTGCTAAACATTCCATCATGGACAAACATTAGGACCTCCCAGCAAGATGTCACTGCAAAGAATCAATAAATGCATCAAGAATTTCAGACTTCCGGTCATTGCGCAATGCATTCTGGGAAGGATTTTCTGAAAAAGTGAGCATCAAACCACCATGTTTGTTTTCCCAGTGGGATGCGTCTATTGACAAAGCTGATCTTTTCAAGTCTTTTGAACCATATCGCTTTTGTTTCTGGTTCCGATATTGGCATATTTTAGTTTTGAGATTCGGACATCGTAATTGTGTGGTTGTTGGATGTCCTAACAGAGGAAAACGGCTCGAGAAATTAGTTTGTGAACTCCATAACTGCTAAAGGGAATCAGATGTGTGTGACTGCAAACCTCCGTTCAGACTGTTTCTCTTCCCAACGGAATAGAAAAATAGTGAAAGGTGAAGTCAATGGGCAGTATTGATGGAAACCTTTGACTGCCAAATCATCCCGAGTTTGCAGCGAACATTTTGTATGTGGAGCCCCATCAAAGCGGGATCCTGTTTGTTAAGCGAGAGGTACAGAAGACAAACAGGCTGAGCTTGCACTTTCTTGTTCGACTGACTTTACAGCAACATCACGTCTTGGTGACTTAGGAGTGGAAGTCGTTTCTTGGCAAACAGCTGGTGCTTTCGCTTTGGCATTGACTTTTTAAATTCGTAACTAAGGTGGAGCGAGGGATCGGGATTTTGCATCCCATTGGGAAAACAAGCATGGCAGTTTGATGCTCACTTTTTCAGAAAATCCTTCCCAGTATGCATTGCGCAATGACCGGAAGTCTTAAATTCTTGATGCATCTACTGCACAAAACATGAATGGACCATATAATTAAACACAAAAGTGAAGAAATGTCATTTTTCTACACTTGTCTGGGAGATGAAACTAGATGGTCCTCATTTCATTTTTACTTTGGTTTTAGCTGGGATTAACAGTTTTATTCATAGACAGTAATCAATATTCTAACTGCTATATTATCAGTTTTGGATATATTTCCCAGCAGTAGTACAGAGAGAGCGTCTTACTTGAGCAGGTGGTCCTTGGTGCTCCTGGTCTTGGTGAGGAACCTCTCGGAGAGTTTCTCCAGGTTGCGGCTGTAATCCGTCTCAATCTCGGCCTTTTTCCTGAAGAAGTCCTGGAGGTCCTGGAGCAGCTGCACCCGGAGCTCGCACTGCTGGTCCAGACACTTGAGCTGCTCCACCAGCTGAGCGCGGATCTCTGAGAGAAAGAAGAACAAGGGCACGTTATTACACTTTGAAAGAATAGAAAACGTATAGGAGAGATGTGCAAGAAGCCCAAAGTGCATTATTAATATTTAAGCACATGTACAATATGAAAATAAGTAGGCTACCACTCAATGTACTGGCTACTGGTGCAAGAGTGAAATACACAGAAAAAAGAGATTACAGGACATGAGGTCAGTTGTGATGTATTATTCTCCACTAAAACAAAAATAGCTTTATTTTCTCAATCTTATCAAATCCACATCTGACTGGGTCACTGTAGCCACAGCAACTCCAAAGAAGACAGAGACACGGCTGGTAAACAGTGGTGTTTACAGTGCTGTTTACCAGCCTCGTCTCTCAGTCATCAGCCCTTTAATCATCCGTGGGTGAAGTAAGTGTCTTGACAAAAAATATGACAACAGTCTGACCTTTGGGTTGGTTGGCAAATAGAAACCAATAAGCCACAAGCTTTAAGGGCACATTTCAGCCCTTAAAAGATCATTGTCACGTCGAGTCCAAACAATGTACATCATCCAGAGGTGGCAGGACTTTCTAGAGTCACAGTTGCCCTGGGGCAGAATGACAGAGACTTGGAAGAACCACCACAACAGCACAAACTAACAGGCCTCTCTTGCCCAGAGATAAAACAGCATTCTAAAGTAGGGAAAGTACAAAACTAACTGGTGACCTTCAAGTGTAGTTCAAATCCTGCCCCCTCTCTTTGTCCTAACATATTCCTACTGTTCAATCAGTGATTACAACGGCTGTGGAGTTTGTGCTGAGGCAATGGTAGAAGAATTCTGACACAGACCAGCTGCAGATGTCAATTCAGAGTCTGATCATAACTCCAGCCACTGAAAACATCATACTGTATTTAGCATCAGATCAACACATCCATTTAAGTGTGAACTGATCCACATATACAGACCTCCAGAGGCACACACATCTCTCTCCTCCTCCTCCTCCTCCTGTGTGCTCCCCTCTTCTCTCAGGGCTCAAATTAAAAGCAGCCAGACACATTGAGTAACCCCATATTCAATAACGGGCTACGCAAAATTCCCCAGGAGTCTCCTAATCTGAGCAGCGGTAAGAGTGCGATGAGTCTACAGATGGGCTGGGTTGGATGGCTCATCTTGGATACAAACTCCTGCACTACATTCTAGACCTTTAGTCAATTAAAGAAATTCTTGATTGGCTAAAACATGACCTGCCGATCATCTAGGCCCGGGGTCATCAAAGTAAGGCCTGTGGGCTGACTCCGACTCTCCAGGCCCCTTTGACCGGCCCCCCAGCCTCTCTGCCCCCCACCACTTGAACAGGCCCTATGAAGCAATCCTCAACAGTTGTCATGGCCTATTTTTTTGAATGACTTTTTGGTAAGTAATAACACTTTTTAAATTTTTTTCAATAAAAAAAATTATATTTATATGGAGTATTTATGTTTATTTTAGTTCTGTAGTGCAGTTAAAGACAGCAAAACGGCGAGTGTTAAAGTACGAAAAGTTAACAGAGAGTGCCAAGTTTTGAAAGAACAGTGGACGACCGATAATTTTTTTGTTCAGTGTAAGGATCGTGCAGTTTGTCCGATACGTAAAGAAGGTGTGGCGGTTTTAAAAGAATATAATCTGTGTCATCAGGGTCGTACAATTTCGTTATTCGACTGACCTGATCGACCACCTCCATCACAGTCAGGAGCTCAAATGTGGCCTCCAGAGAAAAAAGTTTGCTGACTACAAAGAGGATGTGGCAAAAGTTTACAAAATTATCACATACTGACCTAAAGTACATGCATGGGAATTACTGCAAAAGCGAAAACTACAGTATTTATGCAGAAAAAAGTCCAAGGAAACAATGTATTTCTAAAGACACCTTGTGAATCATGAGTTTAATCTGCCTTTTACTCATATTAAAAAGTACCAAATCTTGATCCAACTTCCTCAGTAACTTCTCCTTTTTGCTGCTGTCCCATATGAATCCTCCAAATCTGATCTAAAAGTAGCCACCTGCAAGAGTATATAATGTCAAAAAGAAGAGTTGAATAACTATGGAAAGTATACAAATTGAAAAACCTTGCGATTGTGAAAAGATTGCCATTTTATTTTTGGAAATCTACATTCATTCACAGAAAAGATGGAGTGTTTTGCCCAAGGACACAAGCTCCATCCACTGACCTGCCTTGTATCACATAACACTTGCTCTTCACTGCTCTTTACTTTGGTATAAATGTTACTTTTAACTACATTTTGTTGCTCAGTAAGAGAAAATTTTGATGATTTTCAATGAATTATTAAAACAAAATTAGTTGCAATACTACACTTCAAAATGTTCTATTTCGATACTAGGGAATAGACAGGATACATAATACCAATCTTGATTCCAAAAAAAAAAATGAAAAAAATAAAATAAAATAAATAAAAACCTTGATTCCAAAATAAAAAAAATAAAATAAAAAAAATTGACCCCCGCCCCCCCCCCAAAAAAAAATCTTAATTCCAAAATAAAAATGAAAAAACAAAACAAAAAAAAAGCTAAATTTTCAACACAGAATAGTACTTGCTTTATGTTACCATTTAGTTCTGATAAAAGTTCTTTCTAAGCATTCAAACCCTGTTCAGTCAAATACTAGTTTTCGTACCGATTACTATCTGATTGCAGTACTTTTGAAACCCCTGATTGTAAGGTATCCACTATGACTCAACAGACAGCCTCAAAACCGTAGAACAAAACTATAACTACAAATTGACTCTTACCTTTACAGCGCTGCAAGTAGAGAAACCGAACTGCTTTTCCATCCATCTCGGCTCTATACCTTTATTATCATCCACCTATACTTTTCCTCTCTTATCCGCAGACTAGAGTTGTGCCCTCCTGAGCTGAGCGCGCAGTTTCTTTGACCACATAGAGAAGTAGATATTGTGTGCATGTTTCGCAGCAGCTGGCCCCTCCTTCCTCTCACTTCTGCACAAACACGTAACATGGAGCCACTGTCTGTCACTCTGAGATTACAACATCGGAACAAAAGCGGACTGTGACTTCCAACACGGGCCACACAATGTACAACAGGGCTCTATGCGGGTCTATAGGAAAACATGGGTGCTACGGATGTGACAATAACCGAAATGTACCGAAATATTGTGATATCGTATCGTCAAAGTTCTCGCAATAATATCGTGGACCATCACAATATATCGAATTACAAGTCTCTTTGCTTAAATGAAGAGTTATGATGCAGCAATAAAAAAAAGACAGAGGGAACTACATAGACCATAGTCCTTTGCTCCATTTCAGTGCAGACTACAAGAAGAAATAACAGTTCTAAGTATGGCTGGGTATCATTAAGAAGTTGCCGATACGATACATACCTCAATACGTAAGCCACGATATGATACATATCTTGATACAGTGCACTTTTGGTTCAGTAATATATATTTCAAATTTGATATGGTTCAATAAAATATAATGGCTAAATCATGGTTGTGATAGTAAAAGTCTTTGTTAAACCACTTCTTGGGCAAAGTTAATATGAAACACAAACATTTTAATCAGCAAAACAGTGAAAATGGCAAATTTGTCGCACAAACGAGTTTCCTTCCACTAAACAAGCACCAAAACTGTAGCTCTGTAACAAAATAATTTAGTAAAATACACCAAAAAATACTCTTGGTGATATATCGATACAGCAGCCCATGATATCGATATTGTATCATCACATTAAATGATATAATATATAGATATTTCAATATTTTTGCACTCTCCTTGTTCTAAGCACTTTTAAGTTTTAGTTCTTTGGGTTAAGTCTTGTCAAAACATTTTAAGAGGAAAAAGTAGCATATGAGATGTATATCGTGAAAATATCGTACTGAGAGATTTGGATATTGTTACATCCCTAATCATGAGACTCTTATCCATATCATGAGCTTTCCCACGATATCGCAATAAATATCGTACCATAAGTTTCATACCGTGATGATATCATATCGTGAGACTTGGATATAGTTATACCCCTATATGGAAGCTACTATGATTTCCTGAAGTTCATTTATGTCCCCTTTTGGTATTATACTACTATGCTTCAGGTGTTGTCAGTGTAGCTCAAACTTGATTTCGATACTTGGGGCTCGTAACTCATTAGATTTCGATACACATGAGAAAAATACTTCTTTCTTTAGACAATAGAATGTAAATGTTATCATGTGGTCTTATACTCGTTCTGATAAAGTTCACGATCATTCTAAAATTGTACCCAGGCTGGCGCCACCTAGTGCCTCCATTCAGTTTCATTTCTCTCCAGCGACTAGATCAGAAATCGGAATACACTAGATGATTTGCAAAAGCCCCGGAAGTGTGAGTCCAGGGACCAGCCAATCAGCAAAGAGTCATACATTCTGTGTTGGCAACGATTCCTGAGATCGAGGATTTAAAGCCGGAACAAAGAGAATGTTTGTTAAATTTCATGAAGAGGAAAGATGTTATTACCCTTCTTCCTACAGAATTTGGGAAAAGCTTAATATACCAGTTAGCCCCGTTAGCAGAGCATTACATACGTCACAACCAAATAGCAGCGATTGGTTAAATGACAAAAAGTACCCGCCTACTGTCGAGCCAACAAATTCTAATGCCGAGAGGTCAGACGGTTTCCACGACGTGAAACCGGCTGATGAATCAGGTTACTAAAACTGTTCAAGAAGTTTTTTTTTTTTTTTTTTTTGAGTATTGTCAATTTCTTCAAATCTGTTTTTTTTTTTCGAAAGTAGTTTTGGTAATAGACTAGCATCGGCTTTTCGATACTTTTGACAACCCCGTTTCATTGAAACTAAAACTGAGCTGATGACTGATCTGATCTAACACACTAAAAATGTTTTGCCACCGGAAACAGTGTTACGCAACGAGTAAATGACAGTCTGCATCAAGTTTTATGAATGAGATTTAAAAATAAAAAGAGGCAAGTCGAAAATATTAAGTGCACGACATGATTAATTGAAAGTAACAAAA